CCCGTCCTGCGCCCTCATGCCCAGCCGCTGGCCGGTGGCGTCGGGCTCCATGGACACGTCCTCGCAGATAGAGGTGCGGTGGTGGAAGGGGGTGAGAGGCCTCTTCTGCTGCTTCTCGCCCTTCTCGGGTTTCTCCACCGCCTTGTGCTTGGGGGGAGGCTGGGGGGGCTGGCCAGCTGCCTGCGGCTGTCCTGGGGTACTGCCAGCTCTCTGCTTCAAGTTTTTATGCCTGAGGGAAACAAAGACATGAATTTTTCTTACACTCCCCATCTCAAAAGCATTATTCTTCTCTAGAAACTTTCCCCTTGTCAGGCGCCGTATGGCAACACTAACAGTCCAAGAACTGGTCATACTGCGGCCATTGGAAACTGCTGCTCCTGTGGGCAGGTCTCAGTCAGTGTGTGGTGCTGTGTTGGGAAATTTCACTGAGCCAGCAGCCTGTTTTCCTTTGTCAACTGCACCAACTTTTTTCTCCCACGTTCTGTGGGAGAGTGCTTCAAATATTTTTGGGATACAGTGCAAAAAAACGCTGGTCATGTGTATGGCCTTTTGGCAATCTTCAGGAATGCAGATGTTAATCCTTTAATCATTGAGCCACACACCTAGACAACCTCAAACAGCCGAATCCTCATGATCTGCATTAGATGGACGATGTACCAATTGTGAAAAACGTTTACTGCTTATTTTAATATATTTATCACCCCTGGGTCTCCTGCTCATACAGTCCACAAATCTCTCCTTAAGCCCTGCAAAAAAGTCCTTGCCACTCTGTTTCTGGTCCTCTGTACAGTAATGTTCCAATGCCAAACTGATCCCAGAGTCCCATTATGGCTTTCAACCTGTACAGGAAGCCCACCCTACCAATAATATAAACCACACAGTAAGGTCTTTTCAAATTCCTTTATAAATCTCTAGAAAATAAAGGGCTGTTTCTTTGTTCACATTCATCTTCACTGTTGTGAAATTTCAATGCATTCCCTGCTGATTTAATAGAATCAAAGAATTAAATCGTCCCCTCACAGTTGCTCATAAGGCACCAGTGTAAAGCAGCAAAGACGGTGGGGTTCATGGAGTGAAAAAATGGCTTCATAATGACAAACCAATCTGCTAGCTAAGGCATGGATTTTATGGAAACTGTCTTTGCTGAAAAAAATCGGTATCAAGGGGCAAAATTCCAAATAATTCTTTATCCCTCTCCATTCATGATTCTGTTAAGATGTTGAAATAACCATGTAACACACATAGAAAGCAGCCGTTATGTCAAGAATCCATACATCTCGCTTATTATATTAGTCTCGAGGCAATTTTTTTAGTTGAGCAAATGTGTGTAAATCCTGATGCTCAGCCACAGTGTGTGAAAGGGTTACAAGCTAAGCTCCCCCTGCTTAGACGCAGAAGACTTTTGTCCTGCTAACTACTTCAGTGGATTAGGAAGCAATCAGCTGCCTATCTGTGGCAGAATGGGAGTGAGCAAATAGCTCTTTTACCAGGGTCCTACAAGGGGGAACAGCAGGTACAGTCACATGTGAGAGGCAGGCTTCAGCCTCTATTTTAATTGGAGGCTTTTGTAAAGGGATCCCTTTTCAATTTAACTATATAATTTAAGATCCCCGTTGACAATGAACAAAAGAGTTTGCCCCAGGGAAAAAGAGCACAGTTTTTACAAAACATGGACATAAAACTCTCGCACCTTTTTTTGAAGCAGAAGAGAAAATCAGTTTTTTTCCCAAATCTAACTTGAGGATGCACATACATAGAGTAAAGGTACTTTGTATGCATTAACTTATTTAATGTGGTATATCAAAGCCTGACCTTTGTTTTACTTCCCGATGTATGATTCTCAGTCTACACTCCAGTGACTAATACAATGTACATGACCGTCTGCTTTAAGAAACTGCTTTAACGCAAGTGAAACAGTGTAAGATGGGAGAAAGTGAGGGCCTTTCCCAGGGCTAACCCTACAATGCCCCAATGAATCAAAAGACAAGGAGAATTATTTGAGCCATCCCCATTAAACAGCCAGTGTACTGCCCTATCTTCAGCTCATAGCTGTACCCAATATACATTCCCCTACCAAAGCTGTTGAGTATATGCCTGGAGAGGTTTAATGGCACAGCCCAGCTGGCAGATTGCCTGTGCACTGAATGTGGAACGCTTCCACATTCTCATGTCTCTCAAGTTGTCAGTCAGCAGCAACGCATGTCGCACACTCCAGAGCAACTGCACTCGATTCTGCACCGTGGCAGCGCAAATCTGCTGAGCCTGCCACAAAACATTCCAGTCTACACCACTGTTTGTCACCGCCGCCGTTTTTCTTTCAGAAAGTTCCTCATTCCACAGTCCCTCACTCTCCCCAAGCTTCACCCACACCAGCCTGGCACAAATGGCACTTCTGAGAAACGAGGGGTACAACACACGAAATCGAGAAGACCCCGGCTCTAACCTGCTACTTTTGAGACGAGCGCCAAGCTGCATGCCACCATCGACACCACGTCGAAACAGCAATGATTCTCAAGAAAAGCTTCAAGTCGGCCAACTTCTCAACATGACTTTAAACACTAACTTATTTCTTTACTAAGGTTTACGGGACAACACACATGCACCACCTGTGCTTAATTCGATCATTTTCACATTTCACAAGGCTCCTCTGCTCTGAGTCATACCTTGAACAGTTGCAGTTTGACCTCTGTGTTGGGTCAACAAAATCCCAGGATCCAGCTTTGTCAGTCGATTCTTCTTCACAGGTACCATTTGTAGTGGCAGAGAATTTCCGCCTGAAACATAATGAAAATGATCAGTCCGGACGAATTACCATCTTTATCAATTACCAATTATTATCTTTACGATAGCCACCTGAAGCCATTAAGAGCAGACCACTGGGCTCCTTCAGGAACTGTGCTCAGTCAAAGCGCAGGGGATTCCCTCTGACGCAGATGTTATTGGTTTGAAACCGATCCACGTCAAGAGCCAGCTATGAATGCGATTTCCCAAATGGACACACAATTGGCACTGTGATGGGAATTAGTCAGCCACAGGTGTCTCAGTTCTGGGCAAAATGCAATTCCAGTAACTAGCAATGTTCCTGTACATTTCAAGTCAATGAGAGGAGAACTGCTTCTCCAGCTGGTGCCAATTCTCCTGGTAAGGCATGGAGAGTTTGCACCATGTCAAAAGATGAATGTTTCTGTTGGGTGGACCCTCATTCCTGCCCATGCAGTAAAGGTGGTCTAGCCATGAGCACAGTTTCAAATAATGGGAGGAGATTTCAAACTTCTAAAAAAAAAACTTTGAGGGAGGAATGTTTCCCCTAGGAATTACATAATGGTGTCATGGAAACCACAGAGAATAAGAGGGCAGCGAGTCTGTAACGTACTTGTTCTGAGCTCGGTTGATATTGCACTCCTGCCACACCCTGTCCACCACCTGGCTGGCCAGCTTGCGTGGGATTTTGCCACCATGGTGACTGGTGCTGTCCGTGCTGAAGCCATCGGAAACGGAGGAAAACTTCACCCACTTCTGGGCTGACTGGGAATCCACTGCAAGATTAAAAAAAACGTGTAAAAAATGGGAAATTGATACAGCAACAGCACCATCCATAGGGGTGCCCCTATCTCAGGCAACGTGTAGTATTTGAAGTAAACCTCCTGTGCAGAGAGAAGAGAAATCTGAGCTTCAATAAGAATTTTCAGGAAAAAACCTGTCTGACCAGTCTGCCTACTGGAGCATCACTATTCTGTTACACTGTCGATAATGGTCAGCTACCTGGAAAGTAAACTCAATGACAGCTGGAACAGTTAGTGAAGAAAGGCCTACTTGTCTGGGCTTCCTCGGGAGAGGTGGGTGGAGTGAGGGTCACAGACGAGATTGCGGGGTCTCGTGTGGAAGCAGGCACTTGGTGGACACCAGAATAGACAGCTGTGCAGTGGGAGGACCCCACAGGGGTCACGGCAGGGATGTCTGACTGAGGAACCAACACTAGACAGGCAGGGTAGACCATTCTAACTCCAGCTGCAACAGAAGAAAATGTGGGTTTCAGCATCTTCAGCTCAAGCACAACTGCAGTCAAATAAATCAAATATTCTTTGCCCACTGACAGACAACCATGTATGAACAAGTTAAAGAGATAAATCATTAAAATGGTCTTGGATACCTTTGCCTTCTTATTGCATTAGTGGTACTAAAACATACCGACCTCCCCTTAATGGCCCTCTATTAACATCTCTTAGATTAAAAACTGGTCCATCTCCTTGACCAAAAGTAATCATCTGTGTAAAACATTTGTCAGGATTTAAAATGAACAGTTACAGAGAATGACTCAGGTAGGTTTTTAACAGTTGATCTATGCAAAAACATGCAGGGAAATGACAAAAATGTGCTGCAAATCATACGTTCTGGGGATCATTACAAGCACAGGGAGACCTGCTGGCCACGTCGCCCACACCTAGCCCGTCTCTTACCCACGAGGACTTCCACCGCCGCCAGGGAGTCGTCCTCCCAGTCCATGTCATCCGGCTTGTCCTCGGAGCTCTCCTTGGAACTGGGGCTGATGGGGTAGAACTGCTTCCATTCCTCGATCAGCTTCTGAGTGGGGGGGTCCGACAGCTTGAACGACTGGCCAGTCAGGGTCCCATTCAAACCAAACGGACTCAGAATTACTGGAAACCAGAGCGACACACAAAAAAAACAAACGTCAGCAGACACGAAGATAAGGCAACAGCCACTGCCGCAGTTCAACCCCCCCCAGCGGTGTCGCCCTCAGCTCTGGCCTCAATCAGCACACATTTCTTTGGTGGGCTTTGCAGGAGTGAAGTACAGTATGCAGATCTTACAAGACATCACAAAAAAAAAAAGATGGGATGGCAGGAATTACCAAGACTTAAAATAGGACTGTCCAGATGAGAGCATACCAAAAGCTTTCTGAGATTTACGTTTTAGGAATGTGCTTCTAACTACCATTGACCTTTAAATTAAACAGCCTTCTGAAACACTTATAGAAAACAGTCTGATCACAGGAAATAACACTGCAGACCTCCGCAGAACACAGATCACTGCAGGGCATTCAAAAGGGATGTGATTAAAAAAAAATTAATCATAGGGATTGTTTTCCTCCGGCTCTGTAAGAGGCCTCCACACCTATCTGTCGCTGCTATTACAATGCTAAAAGCCCAATTCCTAGCCTATGTTATTGATCTATAACCCCTCGGTGGGCTGACCAAAAACGAACCTAGAAAATCAGCATTAGTCTTCATGGCTCTGTTTAACATGCTGTGTCTGTGCTTCCAGGCTAAGATTCATAAAAATAAGGAGAGAATCAAAGCACCATATTCTTCTTTCATTTTCCTCATTCCTAGGGGGTACGCCAGCTAAGAAAAGCGGAAAGCTCTGTCTGCCTGTAAATGATCCCTGTATTGTACGGTATTCCCTGTTAAAAGAATCCCCCAGGGATAAAGGAGTTACCGTGCACAAATCACCATCATCCTGACAAGACCCCAGACCTTAAGCCAGAAGAAAGTTAATTTTCTTATTGCTCATCTATTACCAGCTCAAGCACAATACACTGAGCATCCACCAGGATTATGTTGTCAGTTTTAAAATAGGGAGAAATAATTCACTTGGAATCTATGAAGTGTTTTTTTTTTTTTAAATTGGATATCTGGTGTGGTAAAAATGAAGGGAATGCATTTGGGAGAGAAGCTACTGATCCTCTTGCTTTGATTCACAACACTACAACTACAGCTGGGGGCTGGGATCTCTAGAAACAGAAATAATAATATAGACACACAACTAAAGATGAATCTGTATCTGAGTGATCATATATATATATAGTGTATATAAAAGTACAGCCATGCTCATGTGCTATACTAAGTTTTAACTGGCCCAGTCATACAATGTGGTCGGTTGTTACAATTCTCACTGCAACCTCTCACTACAGAAACAGAAGATGAAAAAATGTCGAGCACAAAAACAAAGTGGAGAAGATACCTGAAGAAAGTTGTTTTTGTGCCTATCAGGGGCCCTTCAACTATCACAAAAAGGGACGACTTAAAACACAGCAACCCACTCATGCAACTGTTTAGGTGTGGTATTGCCAGCTCTTCACCGCCTTCCTTTTTATTCTCAAGGCTTGTAAACTCCACTGTGTGGTCACAGGAAAGCAAAAGTGGAAAGGCTGCTCTGTATTATTCACATGCTCAGAAAATGCTAAAGGTTTCTTCCTGCTAGGACAAATAATTCTTCGGGAAGATTTACCCAAGGTTTTTGAAAGGGGGATTAACTAAGCCCCAGCTACCTCAGGCTCAACAGACACAGCAGGACCGGACAGCAAACCTGAGCCGATCTCTACAGAGCAAGGGATGAGGGGAACAATGTGCCCAGCCATGCTGCTGCTGTTTACTTGTCAGAACCATTCAAGACCCCAGCGTGATGAGATCACTGCGGCTATAGACCACTAATAAAACAGGCTGGAGAACAGGCCCGTTTTCTTTTTCCTGCCTTCAGTTCTCAGCAAACGCCATTATAATCCTGTATGTTTCTACTTCTTTGTCACTAAAGCAAAGCACTCTCCTACATGCTAGGTCAAGGTCAGTTCTCTTAGGCAAACAAAGACAAGAAGTCAAAGGAGAAATTGTTAAATACACCATGCTGGCAACCTTCTCAAAGTACATTACCTTAACACATTCTAGATCTGTATTAAACCAATCATTTAAAAATGCTGAACATAACAAAACTGATGAACAGGAGAGTACCCCAGTATTCACCACCTGTGGGGTCTGTCATTTGCATTGCTAAGCACAGCTATGCCATAAGCAGACCACATTCCAATAAATGGTTGGCGCAATCACATTAACATTAATTAAAGGCAGGAATCATTTTATCTTGTGCAATTGCTTTTCAAAACACCAAGCCAGGCAACAATCAAATTCATGCAATGCAAATATGGAAATTCAGCTCTACACAGCATATCAAATACAAACGACAGGCTAAATGAGCTATGAGTTCATTACATCTGCACTGCGTTTTATGGGGTCATTTCCAGAAAAAAAGAGCTATATGCCTCATAACTTACACCACACAAGGCATACCAAAAATGGTCTTTACAATCATGAGACCAAATTTTTTTTCTTACTTGCTTTTAAGCCAGTCATCCCTAGGGCACAGAAACAGACCTTCCTGGTATTTACTGTATTTATCTGATAGGGTTGCTGCGTGAACATTTTAACATAATGGTTATAGTTGGTGCTCTAATGTGCTATTTTTAGGCTGATTTTTGAAAAGCTCTGTAAAAAAAAAAAGATTTAGGAAAAGCATAACCCACACGCAACTGTCTTATCTACACTAGCATTCACATCTTTAAACAGGAATATTTTTCACTTTTTTCATACAGAGAAGGATGTGATGACATTCAAGCAATGTGATCTAATTTACTGCTCTGTGATTTTCCTTGCTGATCTTTTTTAGATACATCTGGAAGCAAAGCCAAGAAACAACTGCCAAAAAGCACACCTGCACGCATAATATCGTTCTGACCACTTTATATACTGTGACCGTGCACTGTATGTAACCATGAACATGTGCCATAGATACTTCTTTAATCCGTTGTGGGAGGTCTGCCTTTCAGCCAATAGATTTTACTGATCTGCAAAACAGACAGTCCTACTCTGGTCTTAAAGGTTTATAACATTAACCTAAATAGCCATTAAAAATCAAGTCATTACTAGCCATTTAACTCGGGTCTCAGCCTCCAGTCCCAGCAACACATCGATACACTGCTTCATACTAAAAAACAGCTTAGACAAACTATTTACATGCATAGCATTGCCCTGCACAGTTTCATGAGACCTATTCGCGCAGTATTTATCGAGGGCTGGCAACACGCACGATCTGAGCAGGAAAACATTTGAAGTGGAATACAATCACCGATAAGCAACAATAAAGGGGAAGGATAATGGCATCATTCGCCCTGCAGGAAAAATACATTTCGCAGAGAAATGAGATCCGTTACTGGGCTATTTATCTACAGCTGGAAACCAAAAAAAACAATTGCATCTATAAAGTGCCAACCCCCTAAACTAGAACACAAACAGTGAAAAGTAATAAGCCAGAATATTGCTGGAAAAGGTCCTAAGAGCTTCCACCCCAAATACTCATATAGGAATTCTGATGCAGGAAAGTTTGGTGTGAGTCACACAAATGCATCCCTGCAGAGATGTGACTTGGCTATGCGGCTTTCTTAAGAAAGGGGCACAGTGCGAACCATACTAGAGTGGATCACAATCACAGCAGCCTAGTTTAGAATGAAACAGAGTGGGAAGAAAAAAAACACAGCTTGAGACGTTTCTATAACCACTTGTTTTCCTAAAGCAAAATTACAAAAGTCATTACATTGCATTTCAGACATTCATCTAAAATTATGGGTATCTACATGCATTTAATTTGTTGCATAATTTATTCTCTCTGTCTGGTTGTTTTAACTACTTCTGACTGCTGTAGCTAAACGAAAAAGGCAGATTTATAAAACGCTTTGTTAGAGTACTATGCACTGAAAACCCTACAACATCCAAAGCCCTTAGCTCTCACTTTTCTTGTACTCATCTGCAAAGGAATTTTTTCAGTACCACAATGCAGACACATTCCTGTGCCCATCCGAGTTTCAGGGGTCGAGTATTTTGTTTTTGTAGAAGAAAGAAAACACTTGTGTTTTCAGCATGGAATAAACCCATTACTTGTTACATTATACATTATATATACACACATTAAAAAGCATGAAGTAGGACAAATGGGGAACGGACAGCTTTTTCCATACTGCTGCCTTCTGGCACGGTTATTAACTCCAAGACGAACTGCCACATGAGTTATCCGGCTTGTCTTGGCGCCAGCTGACTGACCTTGGAAGGGGCTGTTGGACTGCTGCGCCAGGGTGAGGTGGCCCTCGCTGAGGTGGTAGATGGGCTGGTGCTGATTGATCTCCACACTGGTGCACACGTTGCTGTCTCCGTGCAGAAAGAAAGTGAAGGCGCAGGACAGGTGTTCGCTGTGGAGGAAACACACAAACAGGCAGGGTCAACCTCTACATTCAGGATGCAGCAATTCCTTTTGTCCCAGCCTCAAAAACTAAAACAAAACGCACACCAAGACAAAACAGACACAGAAAAACACAGCGGCAAGCGATCAGTCATCAGGGCATGCAAATCCCCCAGGGTTACAGTGTTGTTATAACTTCCTCTCTCAAGCAAAGGGGCTCAGCAGTGAGGATCTCAAAAAATTCCACAAAAAAAACTAGGAGAAGCACGGAAATAAAAAAACACATATAAAACAAACTGAGGTGCAGGAGGGGATTTGAATAAATCTTTGTAAACCATGATCAGAATACAAGACTACAAGTCCACTTTATAAACAAGTCCTCAACTCCAGCCTCGTTAATGCTCTGTCGAGAGCGCTAATTGGAAAGAGAATACTGATTCATCTGAAGCGTTCAGTGTCCACAGCAGACACAGCCATGACCAGCAGGAGAAGCACAGAAAACAGCACTCCTGCTCTGCAACAGCTTTGAGGTGAATATTTATCCATAGTTGCAGTACAGAGTATTAAGCCAGAGAATAAAATTCAGGCAAGTGTCGGCGTTCCTCTGTGTTACTGTTTACGTTTTTGCATGGCAAGCTGAGTCCATCGTAACAAAGTTCTCACCTTTCCCTAAAATCAACCATACGTTAAACAAATATACAGAAAGAAAATACCATAAAGATGTAGAATTTAATTACAGAACAGATTCAGCTAAGCATGTAGCTCGTCTATGAATAGCAAAGGTCAGTGTTTAGCAGACGTCCACAAGCGCCTCGCTCGTACCCAGACTCCTGCGTGAGATACACTGTTAGAAACTGCGCCTCTATCCAAAGATGTCGCACACAGAGCTGCAGAAACACCCCTGCCTACACCGTAGAGTCACTCTATCACTTCAAATGACAGAACTCTCACTGCTCTCAACGGCAGGCGTATATAGAGGCGTATAGAGCAGGAACTCTACCTAGACTAAAAAAAAAAGGCCGAATCATTCCTGGGAGCATTCCCTTGGTGTGCCGTCTGGCTCAAAGTTAGTAGGAATGAGGTAAGCTTTGAAAAACTGACCAGGATACTCGAAGGAAAGGGGGCTGCAGTCTGGAGGAAATCTGATCTTTTTCGGAAGTTTTCCAAAACCACACGTCCGTTATAAATTAAATGTGCTCACAGGCCATTTGAAAGCTTTACCTATATTTGGCTTACAATATCTGAGCCCTACGGTAGCTAATGCACATTCTGCGGTTTTATATAGCCCAACTCTTTAAAAAAAAAATTACTCCAACTTAATACTAAGAAGAAGCCGCACAAACACAAGAAAAGCAAGAGCAAAATAATGGTAGCAAACCAGTCTCTGCAGCAGGACAGGTACATGTCACTGTGGAATAGTCTCTTTGAATGATCTGACACTGAAACTGAAGATAAGGACAAACAAAACAACTGCATTGGTTGGAAAGCAAACGTGAAGTGTTTAGACAGCAGTGCCCATACTCTGCTTTCATTCCTACAAGGCAAAACTAGCTGTAAGGCAGCTCATTGAGAACAACTGCCTTCTTGGAAAACCTCCTTCCAGGGAATGCAGAGCTTGTTAAAGCCACTGTAAGCTGGGGGCTGTTTGTCAAAGCCGACTGCCTTGAGTACGTTTTCTTCCAGAGCTCGGAAGCCAATCAGCCCTGCATTGAGAGTGCGCAGACATTGCTCCTGGTTTTGAGTTTAACATTAAGGTCAGACAGAACAAGTTACAAACCAAAGCAGGTAACTTGTGGGGAAACTCCAGAACGTAAACACAACATATCAAACACATCAAAAGACGGAATATTAACAGTAATCTTTTCTGTTATGGATTCTCTGGCCACCTCTTTAGTGTGTGTGTGTGTGGGGGGGGTCTTTGTTTTCCTTTTAAGAGAATGTCAACAAGTTTTGTTGGCACATGACCAGCTTAAAACTGTAAACCCCCCTCCTTACACACACAAGTCCCCCAAGGACAAAAGATCTGCACAGCTCAAACAGCAGATGTAAACTCAATTCTGTAAACAAGTGTTTTTGGCAGCTGACAGACTCATAGAAAATTCTTCAAAACCAAGTCCAGGATCAGAGTTCAACGGAGCCAAAATTTTTGAGGTTTCTCTGCTAAAATGACCACTTCATGAGACTCTGGGGAAAAAAGGGAATGCTTTATGATTACGATAATGAATGGCTAAGGTAAAAAGAGAGAGAGGAGTTTTTGCCATATGTACATGTACACTGGGATTCTTATTTGTGCCGTTTTCTCAGGACATGCAAAGTACAATAGACATCTGCAGAGTTTGTGTAAAAACTACACCTTTCAATTACAATCACAAAATACTAGCATGAAAGTTGTATTTTACCGATTAAAAATGATACCCCCTCTGTAAGCGAGGGGAAACACTACACAACAGAACCTCACACAGTAGGCAAGAACACACTGTAGCAACAGGCCCCAATATCAATAACTCAAACATGACTTTGCAGAGGAATGTGGCCTCTTGCTCCACAGAAGAAGGATCAGGAAGATTTCAACAGCCAGCCGAAGCATGTAGGACAGTTCTTTCAGACACTTCCTTCTGTCGGAGCCTAAGGTTCGTTAGTTTGACGCTGTATATGCCCTCAGGATGGGGATACCTTGAGAAGGTTCCGAACAAAAACGATAGAACAGGAGAGGCAAATGAGTCCCATTTGGAACCACACCAAAGGCACCTCCACCACACAGATGATCCAACCTGCTAATGGACTGAGAACACCCCAGACATCAACTTGAGGTCACTCTATAGACCAAACGGAGTCTTCAAAGTCTGCAAAGAATTTGCAAAACAAAATGCCAATTTCTATCCCAGTCTTAAGATTTTATACTCCACAATAAATTGATGCCAAGGTTAAAGCAAAGCTTTAAAAGAAAAGCAATTCTCTTATGCTAATACAGAAACAGCCAAAAAACCTAGAGTACAATCAGTCCTACGCATTTAGATGTGTTACACAGCAGAGCAGACAGTTCATTACAAGTGACATCAGGTGATGGCTCAGTCACCAACTGCCCTTCTTGACATGGCCTCTGAACAGCTGGGAAGCACATTTTTAAAAGCGTAATCGAGCTGTCGTATGCACCGAGGGCTTGCTTCCACTGTAAAGAGCACCGGCAAGTAGAACGGGATATTCTATGAACTTATACCCCAGTTACGAATTCCTTTTGTTCACTTGTAAGAAAAGCCAAACAAAAAAAGAAAGGTTTTCAATGATCTCTGCAGGCAGCAGCATATTAAAAAAATGCCAGTTGAAGGAGATTAGTGGAGGAGGAATCCCCAAGCGAGTCTGTGCAGAATTCGGTTTTTCTCCTCATTGCCTGTGAAATGCAAATAAGCAAAACGCGACTCTGCTGGAAAGCTCAACGTCAGGCAATCTGGAATGCAACCTGTGACACCAGCATGTCCTCATGGCCTCCAAATATGCATTGTTCTTTAAGCACCTGCAGACTTCCCAGAAGCAAAGAGGAAAAGAAGGCCCTTAAACCCGACGAGACGAGCTTTCGTTCCGGAGCTGTCCTGCAAGCTGGCACTGGGGTGCTGCCCTCTGTCTCTCACAGAGGGGAAAGGACGTCACCCTTGAGGGGCGCAGACAACCAGAGCCCGTGCTGTTCAAGCTCTGTGCCGGACTGCGAACAGGGACCCCTCGTGACTGAAAACAGCGAAAGGCCACCAGGAGGACAAGCCTTCAAATCTCGGAGACGCAGCTCACGTGGCAAAAGGATCAAAGCAGACGCAGAACAGCACGTTTCACTGCAGCGGGGGCATTCGTCCTTTAACACCCTGGCGCTCGGCTGCACTCCTCAGCGCGTGTGCGCCGCCGCAGTCTCCCTCTTCCTGCCTCCCCCGCTGAACCGTGCGGTCTGCTCCAATGAATCGGCCCGAGCTCTCCACTTCCGCCCCGGCAGGGCCGGACCGCTGCGCGTGTGGCCAGAGAGAGCTGCTGGGAGAGGAGGCCGCTTGACAGGCCAGAACGAGCCAGATGCACGGGGACTAGATAAAAGGGGAAGTCTTTCTCTGTAAACATTCACAAGCCTTCTGAACTGTTCCTGTGAACCGCCGGAGCACACGCGCTGAGCTTGCACAACCTGCTCCCTCGAGAGTTGAGAGAGTGGATCACCGCCACTTCCAGAGCACCGTAAGACACCTCTTCCGGGCCGACACACAACAACATACACCTGAACTGAGCTCTGCCCACAGCAGGAACGCCAATTTGACTGACAGGGTTGACACCCTAAATCCTATATTTTTTTTAAAATCTAGTTTTATTCTCAAGGTTAAAATTCAGCATGTCTGGCTCTGCACCAAAGAAACTGTAGTGCTGTGATATTTCATACATTGTGTAAAGAATTCCTTATTTTTATAGGTTTTTAATCATCTGCAACTGCTTGATGAAATGCCAACAGCACTTTTTTTTTCCAGAAATAAAGCTATAAACTTTCAGATTATAAAAGTGGTACGAACATTTTATTATTGCTACAAATTATTCATGTATATTGTATTGGGCCTTTCAAAACCCTGAACTTTAAAATCTTTATTTCCAAGCGCTGCCTGAAGCATTTATTGCTCTCAGGGTTACAGTTCTGTTGGCAGACTTAAAACAGCCTTAGTTTTCCTGAACAGCAGCCCTAATAACAGACAGAAAAACAATGGGACAAAAACCAAAAGCATTTGCAAAGCATTGCATCTGCCAATACATTTTGGTGATCCGATCAAAGATTTACAATAACCAATACATAAACCCACCAATACAATTTTTCTTGCACAGAAACCCCTATCGATTGCTGTGTAACTTGCCAGCTTTTGTTACCAGAACCTCATTTGCAGCCATACTGCAGAGACAAACCTCAAATGCAAAACGCTTCTGCTATCAACAAAAAAATGAAGCTTAATCTAAACCACTGAAAGGCAGCTCCTAGTCGCTAAAAACTGCAGCACAATG